AGAAGCAAACACAAATCATCCTTAAAGGAGTCCACTTTCCAACCAGGTCTAACAGAATTCTTATAAAGTTCTAATGAATATCAGCTGCTATTCTAAAAGCAAAAAAGCAAAATGAAACAAGGCAGTAAAACCAAGAGCAGCAGCAACAATAAACAACAGAATCAGACCCCAAAAGGTGTCACATATTGGAATTAGCTTAAAGAACAAAAGAGATTCAATCTATGGATAAAGAGGAAGCAACTAAAAAAACAAACAAAAAAAGTCCAAACAGATTTGAGAAAGAACCAAATAAAACTGGAAATATAAAATAATTGAAATTAAAACCTCAATATATCAGCTTTAATTTCAGATTTGATATAGCTGAAAATTGAATTACAAACTGGGAAATGGATATAAATAAATTAATCAGAATGTAATACACAGCAAGAAGGAAACAGAAAATATGAAAGAAAAGAGTCATGGAGGATAGGATGAGGAAGTCTAGCATTTATCTTATCAGAATTACAGAATGAGAAAGGAGTAACAATAGGGTAGAGGAAATTTCTGGAAAACACCCAGAACTGATGAAAAACAGAAATATTTAAATTTGGGATAAATTTAAAGGAACCCACGTACTACACAATGATGCTGCAGGACACCGAAGGCAAGAGACGATCTTAAAACTAGTCAGAGAACAGAGGCAGATTACTTTCAAAGGGAAGACAGTGAGGCAGCAGAATTCTCAAAAGCAATACTGAAAATCAGGATTCAATGGAGTAATATATTGTCTTCAAAATGATAATAGAGAATCACTGTCAATCTAAAATTCTTTTCCTAGTGGAAGTACTTTTTAAGGTAATCATGTTCCCAATAGATCCTCATGAGAGAAAATTTTAAAGCCATAGGGAAAATGACGTCAGATGACAAACTTTACGTGTGAATAAAGCTAAAGAAAAAAGACTATAAAGACAATAAAAATAGTATTTCATGGAGTTCATAAAATTACATTTAATTTAAATTTAAGATAAATTATAATTTAAATGATAATTAAGATAAACAACAGCAATAACTGCTCTAGTATAAATTGAAAGGAGGGTGTTTGGAGTTACAGTAATTTAAGAAGGGTAAAGATATTGATCAATGTTAGACTTTCACGCATTTGTGTGTCAGGAGTAGTTACTAAATAAAGAGAAAGATTATAAAATTTCCAGCCTTAAAATGGGAAATTTTGGAATGAGAAAAGTAAGAACAATCTTAAGGAAGGTAAGAAAGAGACAAGAAACATAGACACATGTGGGACAACTAGAAAGCAACATATCAATACTGAAATGAGAAATAAACTCAAATATTTTAGTATTTATATGAATGTAAATGAAGTCACTTTCATTTGAAAGTAAAAATTTAACTATATACCACTGACAAGAGACACATATAAAAAGAAGACTTTCAGCAGAGAAGCTGAAAGTAAAAGGATGGAAAAACATATCTTGTGATTCTTAGCCCATAATTTCCTTAAAGGGAAAACTGTGCTAAAAATACAGTTGTAATGCCAGATACTTTAAGTGTCTTAAAGTGTCTGTTATATTACACACATTGGATTACAGGCTTAGAACCACAAGCTACCCGAGTTTGTATTTCTTTGATGTTTGACTGCATGTCTAGTTTATGACTTCAGGCTGTCAACACAGCTCCAGAGCAATCAGAACCGTAAGGAGTGTTTATAAGGTGATAATTTATTTTACGGATGTATTTACAATATTTCTCTCTGTCAAAACAAAGTTATTTCATTTACTTGTTCAATTAGATAAACTGGAATTAATATGCAATTGCTTAAGAGAGCACAAAGTATCAAGAGGGAAGGTTTAAAGCCTTCTTTTTCAGCTGTGAGACTAAATATTCTTTTTTTAGATCTCGTTGGAAATGATTTAAATGAACCTTTTGACTTAACGTTACTTCACTTTTAACTGGAGCTGCTGCAGTACAACAGTCCACATAAATCCTGCTCATACATAAAGGAAAATTCCAGTTTAATCATTAGCTGTGATGAAGAATGCCTGAGCATTTTCATCAGAGGACTTTTTTTAGCCGTTTAATAAACATAAGTTGAATAAATGGGCAGGAGAATTTTGTACTGGAGAGAAGGTGAAGGACAGCGCGTAGAGCTGGAATGGGAGGATGGATTTTGAGATGGAAAATGCACTTAAACTCAACATAAATTTGAGAATATTTGTGTAGACAAAAAGTCATTTTAATGAGGGCATTCTTGAGAAATCCACCCATAGGCCTTCACACATAGCTTATTCAAGACTATATGACTATGGAATATAAATTCCACTATATAATGCTTATGTGATCATTAATAAGAAGCTATACATTACTTTGAGATATGGATGTTAAGTGATTGGGTAGGATACTCACTGGCAAAGTTTCATACTAGCCTGGAAACTCATAACATACAAATTCATACCTCAGCAAAATTGTAAGATATGGACCTTATGCATCAATAGAAAATGGCAGAACCTGTCAATATTAATTCTATGAATTTCTGGTTTCTACTCAGTCTGCTACTCATATAAATTGAAGAGTCTGGAAAATGCTATTGTAAGTAAGAATAATCTTGCATAAAATTTACTGTCAGAAGATGCTAATTTTGCATTAATTTCCTGAAATGTCAGCAGTGAATACTGATAAAGATATAATCCAGATGCACAAATTGATCTTTACTATGAGTAGAACATTAATTTTTCCCCTTGCAATATAGTACTTAACATCTGTGTTTAGAAATTTAACTTGAATTATCCACGCATAATTTGATATCTAAATCACTGGCCACAAACAGATTCCTGGTGTTCACACTTAGATCCAGGTGCTCATTAGCTGGAGACACCGTTAGAATAATATAGATTTTCTTAAAAACTTTTTTGCCCTCTAAGCGATCAGCCAAAGGTTAGGCTGCTACTAGCCCAATACATTCTTTATGTAATATCAATTAGTCTCCCCCCTCCTTTTTTACTTTCCCTCTTGAGAGGCTGGCTCACTGACAGGGAGAGACTGTGCAGGTAGAGGGGCGCTGATATCTAGCTGTGCAGCTGTCCTGAAATGTACCTGGGATTTGTTTTCATCAGGGATGGTAGACAGCAGACGTGGAAATGAATGAAGTTTACACTCACACAAACCTAGAAACAGGAGGCCCAGCATGGCGTGCAGGGTGGTCAGGAGGCAGAGATGGGAGAGGGCAGAGCGTGCCCAGAGCCTTTACTGGGGTTTTTGTGGGAAGGAAGGGGCGAGGCAGGGTAGGTATACTGAGTAAGCTCAGGACTGGAATGTTTGAACAGTTTCAGTGGGGTTGGCTCTAGAGGTGGTACCTAGCCCTGGGGGGAAACTCTGCGGGGAGTACTGGCATGGTGTGTGAGAGTTTGATAAATGAGATGACTGGGGTGTGGGCTCTGGATTGGTTGGTGTGTTTATCAAAGATGCGCTCCCAGGGGAGTCATTCACTACCTCTAGGAATTAGCTACCCTGGTAGAGTTTCCAGGATTAAGGGCCTACATGCCAGAGCTTCAAGAATACTGAAAATAATAAAATATAGCCAATATAGCAGCCTTGCCTTTGTCATCAGGCTAAATAAATCTATGTGTCACTATCTGGATTGTTAAAAGATTAGTGTAGCTAGCTATTGTTAAGTTAACCACGTAGATCAGAATCCCACAGTATTGCCATTTGTCTCCCCAAAACAAAATTCGCACAAAGTGAAAAGAAAACAAAGGGCTGACACAAGTGACAATTCATTAGTGACATTAAACAAAGAGGAGGAATATGAAGTATGCATGTAGCCGCCAGTGTTTTTCACAGTAACCAGGAAAGGGTCCTTCTCACTGGGACAAATTTGGAAGATGCCTGACTGATAACCAAGGCAATAAAAAGATGATTTCGATGTTCTTGACTGAGAGTGTACTTGGTTATGATGCAGTCATTTGAAAAGGCTGCCTTGAATACTTTAAAGAACTAACTACCTTTTGTAGCTAATTTTGTAAAATAAGGACAATTAAGACCCACCTTTTTTATACAGATAACTTAAGGTGATGCAGATAGACAGACAGACAACCATACTGGCCCGGGGTTAACAAGAGATAGGTAATGAAACACCTAGGCTCCTTCTTCTGGAAGGGAATCATCTAATATCTCTGGCCCTTCTTTTCTTCATCCTAAATATGAAAATTTTTTTTAAAAATAAATAAATAAATTTATTTTTTGGCTGTGTTGGGTCTTCGTTGCTGCGCGCGGGCTTTCTCTAGTTGAGGCGTGCGGGGTCTACTCTTTGTTGCGGTGAACAGGCTTCTCATTGCGGTGGCTTCTCTTTGTTGCGGAGCACGGGCTCTAGGCACACGGCCTGCAGTAGTTGTGGCATGCGGGCTCAGTCATTGTGGCTTGTGGGCTCTAGAGCGCAGGCTCAGTAGTTGTGGCGCACGGGCTTAGTTGCTCCGCGGCATGCGGGATCTTCCCGGACCAGGGCTCGAACCCGTGTCCCCTGCACTGGCAGGCGGATTCTTAACCACTGCGCCACCAGGCAAGTCCCCTAAATATGAAATGTTTGGATAAGATGATCTCAAAGGATTCCTCTAACCATAACACACACACACACACACACACACACACACACACACACACAGCACCATCATTATATCCCTGGGATGCTGCCTTCTTAAAATAAAGTGGTTAAATTGAAAGATGTTTTGGAATGAGTGGTGAATTAAGCTTGATTTTGGACACTGAGTCCTACAAGATTATTTATTCTCCCTTACTCACTATGCAGACCCTACACTGTGTGGGTGCAAACCCTACTTTTATGTTTAATACATTTGCACTGAGAGGATTTGTTAGGAACTTAAAAATGCAATTGGACAACGTTTCTCATTTGGACGATATAACTTGCATCCACCATAGGTCAAGGGAAGTGCCAGTCAATCGTTTTTTTAGGCAGCAAGCCTTTCCTATTGGTCCCCAAAATAACCTAGTCATACCTTAGAGGTATCATCGCCTTCATCCTCATGCACTGAGCTGGACGGTGAAGGAGTTGCAGACTTGCTTCCGGGAGGAGATGGCGAGTTGTGGGGGACACTGCTTCCCCCCATGTTCAATCCAAGCTGAGCACTTAGCTGTGATTGGTTGATGGTGGTGAGCTGGCCATGCTGCATCATGCCTGGCTGCTGCCTGAGCTCTGCAGGCTGACCCCTTGGTCTCATGGCTGCCATCTGAGGATGGGAGCTATACTGACTTCCTTCTGGGCTCCGTATATCTTGCATCTGTAAAAAAAAATGCAGAGGAATAATTTTTCACAAAACGTGTTTCTGGAAAAAATTTTTAAAATTCCCTAGGCTTTAAAAATCCGTTAGGATGTCCTGCTAAACTATACACATTTCCACCCCGTCCCTCAGAGTAGGATAATCCTAACAGTATATACCACCCTGAATTTGAGAATTCAGTCAACATCACATTTCATTACTCAAGACCTGGTTGATTATATTTACAGTCCTTCTTTACACTACAACGAAATGCAAACATAGAGCATTAACAGCTATTTCTGGTGTAAGTTTCAAAATGTTGATGCTTATTAGCGTGTCAATATTATATAATTATTAGTGATTACAGCATTCACAGTAATTCATGAAACTCTATTTCTTTGATTCTCATCATTTAAAAAAGGTTTTGAAAGTTAAGCATACTATGGTTCTCAGTTTACTTCTATATAGGCTAGTACTGGCCAAATGATCTACGAACCTCCGACTCAGAACATTTACAGGCTTGTATTAACCAACTGATTAACTGACTATTGAAATGATTTGACTACACAGCCCGATTTGAAAGTAAAGCTCTAAAGTTGCAAGGACACCATATTAATCCATTATGCTATCTGGGTCACTGCTTTTTAGCCTTAATGAGACTCACTCTTACAATTCAAGCAGTGAATTTCATCTCTGCAAGAATTAGAATTAAAAGCATTGGAGGATGAAGCTCTTAACATAACTAGAGGTCAAATGTGTTGTAAGAAGAGTGTGGTGGATTTCACTTAATGTTTCTCTGGCATTTTCAAACTTAAAATAATGGGGACTATTTTGTGGTGCTTACAGAAGCAGCTGTTTTGTTCACTCTGAAGGGCATTGGGGAGTTCATGCAGGTAGAGGGTTTACAAAACAAGAGAGAGAGAAAAAGAAACAAATGGAAAAAAGGAGGGCAGTGAAGAGATATATGTTAATGTTACATTTGGGAATGGAAAAAGTAAAACTAATGTTACCTTTCTCTATTTCATTAAAAAAAAAAACCCATATAGTGTCAGATATTACCACCATGACATGGAAATAATGAAAAGGTCAATTAAATAACTTAGTCATAGGAATTTTTTTCTTTTGGTAATAAAATCATTTTCTACCAATGCTCTCTAGTCATTTTACCAACCTCGTTAGACCTCCCTGAAACTGGAGTGGTGACTGAAGAGGTGTCTGCCTGTGTTCTCTGTATTAGGTTTACTGTCTCCACCATAAGGCATCTGATGAGTCAACACCTTTTGACCTTTTCCCAAGTCTTGCTACTGTTTCATCTTCAGACTCAGTTCTAGGAATCCTAGACTCTGGCTCTCCTGGGTGAAGGGTTCGTCTGGCTCTATGGCTTTGTACCCATTGATTGCCTCGTTTAAATCAACCTTTTTCCCATAATTTAAACCACGTTCCTCCAATCCTTCAAAAGTAGCTCATAGCTCTCCTTTTTATGAAACCCCTCATTAAGCAGGTATCACTATTCAGTGATACATGTGAGCGCTGCAGAGCCTCTAGTGACACGATCTCAATCTACAGAAGAGGAGACCGAGGGGCTGTGAACGTCTGTTGAATAAATATATAAATGAATGACTAAACCCCAGAGATCTTAAATGACTTCCCCGAACCACACAGTTGGAGTTAAAACCTACATCTCTCAATTCCAGTCTCTGATACTTCCTACTGTATTAAGCAGCTGATGCAATATTTTACGTATCCCAAAGAGAGAGTTCTAGTTAATTATAGTCAAAAACACCCATCCAATACCGCCTACCCAAATCCATGGTTTTTATCTAGTCCATTCATGTTGCCTCCACTCACATTTACTAAAATAGATTTTGTTCCTGCTTAACTGTTCCTGTAACTTCCATAATCTGACCTTCTCTGTGAAATAATACTAGCTTTCACAGTTATCCATAAAGTTGTGCCACTGAGTCCTTTTCAGGCCCATACTCTGAGGCCCTGAGGTCCTATTGTGTTCTTCCTTAGACCCTTAGCATGTAGAACTGGTCTCTCATCGTGGGCACAGAGGAATGGGCGCCCATAAAGGCCACTGTCCTATACAGGGCAGCTCCCGCTCCCAGCCCTGCACAGAAGAAAGCACTCACGTGCATGTTCAAACATATCTGTTTGTAGAGGACACATTTTTAGAGCCCTGCAAATTAAAAATGTTTACTAACAAAATCATACTTTAAATTATCTTTCCAAACGTATGTAGCTAATTGATATCTTTATTTCTCTGTCACATAAATCCCAAGTTACAAGCATGAACAGCTGTAACCTATTGGGAGCCCACTTCTCACTCTTTCAGAAATATTGTGGTTTCCACGTGACATTGCAGATGATCTCTAAATTGACTTACACACAGAATTTCCAGATTTACGACTACAAATTTCACTTTAGAGCACCTATCTCTTCCTCCATTTTGTAATCCTTTTTATTGTTTTCTCATGCTAATTAGTGTGGTGGGTAGATCTCTGAGAACTAACATTGTATTTCCACCTTTGTTATATTAGTAGAAGGAGGTGGGCATGGTGGAAGGGGGTAGGGAATCAATCTGGGTCGGGACCACAGAGTACTCAACAGGGTACCACTTTTTCAAAAGACTCATCCTTAGTTCAAAATATGGTGTCACCAATGGTGTTAGGCCAGCAGACAGCAGCTTTAACACTGAGTCAAAGAATAATTTTCCTTTGTGGAGGGTGGCAAGCACAAATCAGAGAGCATACTCATCTCTTTAGGTCTCAGATGCACTTAGATCTTAACACCCTTGGTGACATTTCTGAATTAGGAGGAGTTTTTCCATTTCACCTTTTTGCTTTGACAGAAGTCAGTTTACTATTTATCACTGCCTAATGTATAATATGGGGCAAATTAAATTGGAGGGACTCTGATACTGAAAACTGAGAATAATTAGTCAGCTCATGAAGGTAAGCAAATGTTCTGATTACTGGTTTCCTTCTAGGAAGATAGCGAGTGACTAACTACAGGTCTTAATGTGAAATACGAAACTTCAACTTGCAAAATATTATTTCCTGTTACTCCCCAGTATTTTCAAGTTACTGTGAATAATTCACTTAAGTCATGCTTAATCTCAACTGCTGTTCTGATTCCTCCCAGCTCCTTCATGGACTTTATTCTTCTTACAACTTTCCACCCCTAAATGATTCCCTAACATTCTGTTTTTCAGTCGCATTTCTTCATCCAGCTAAGATGCATCATGATTTTGTTAATGGGGAACGTTCTAAATGAAAACGCACAATTCTGGCCCAAACTCCAGGTCTAACTCTGCTAGATGTCACTACTTGGACATCACCCCTGCTGGAAAACCGAACAAGGTTTTCTTTCTCAAAACTATTTTGTACTCTGTGTCCAATTTCTTTCAGTGACACCTTCATCCTCCCTGTCACTTCTACTCAAAATGTTCTAGTAATTTTGGGTTCATTCCTTTTCTATCAAACTCTTGTGAGTTCCACTGAGTCTGCTCTACAATACCCGTTCCATCTTCCCTTCCTCTCACTCACACACCATTCACGTATTTCATGCCTTCATTACCTCCTCACTTGCAATAGCTACTAAATAACTAAAAAGAATATCTTCACATCCACCCCAAAGAGTACTGTAAAATTAATCTTCATGAGCCAGACTCAAAACCTTCCCAGTGATATCTGCCTACCAAATTGAATGCAAACTGTTTAGCATGCCATTCAAGATTCCAAATGAACTTTATTCCTTATAAGTGTCCTTCACACACTTGATTTTCAACCAAACCCAACTAATTGCTTTCCTTTGCCTCTCTCTCCCTTGAACATGTGCCTTTGCGTCTATGCTGCTCTTTCAGCATTCACTTTCTGAGCATTTGCTGTTTGAACTTCTGAAAAACAGTTACAAAAAATACTTTGCTCAGTGATTTCTGGTTTGCACAGAACTTTTACCTACTGGGCCTCATAATTCCCCTTTGAGGTAGTCCTATAGAAATGGCTGTTTTGTACAAGTTTATTGAGAATGGTAGAGGATAAATGGTCTCAGATCTCTCTACCAACAAAGATTAAAAGTAGAAATAAGCTTATTTTACATATTTGTGATCTTTTCACAATTCCATGACACCATTACCATATTCACATATCCAAACCCTGAATATACTGGGTTGGCCAAAAAGTGCCTACAGTTTTTAAGTAAAAATAAAAGACACATTTTTCATTTTCGCCAAGAACTTTACTGAACGGTGTATTCACCCTTTTATTCCACTACTTTCCGCCATTTTCCAGGCAACTTCATAATTCCATCGTCCCAAAACATTTTATCTTTTTGAGCAAAGAACTGTTCCAGGTGCCTTTTTTTTTTTTTTAACATCTTTATTGGAGTATAATTGATTTACATTGTTGTGTTAGTTGCTACTGTATAACAAAGTGAATCAGCTATACATATACATATATCCCCATATCCCCTCCTTCTTGCATCTCCCTCCCACCTGCCCTATCCTACCCATCCAGGTGGTCACAAAGCACCGAGCTGATCTCCCTGTGCTATGTGGCTGCTTCCCACTAGCTATCTCTTTTACGTTTGGTAGTGTGTATATGTCCATGCCACTCTCTCACTTTGTCACAGCTTACCCTTCCCCCTTCCCATATCCTCAAGTCCATGCTCTAGTAGGTCTGTGTCTTTATTCCCGTCTTACCCCTAGGTTCTTCATGACTTTTTTTTTTCTTAGATTCCATATATGTGTGTTAGCATACGGCATTTTTCTCTTTCTGACTGACTTCACTCTGTATGACAGACTCTAGGTCCATCCACCTCACTACAAATAACTCAATTTCGTTTCGTTTTATGGCTGAGTAATATTCCATTGTATTTATGTGGCACATCTCCTTTATCCATTCATCTGTCGATGGACACTTTGGTTGCTGCCATGTCCTGGCTATTGTAAATAGTGCTGCAATGAACACTGCGGTGCACGACTCTTTTTGAATTATGGTTTTCTCAGGGTATATGCC